CAGCTAGATGCCTATCTAACCTCCTCTTGAAGACCCCCAGGGTAGGGGAGAGCACCACCTCCCTTGGGAGCCCGTTCCAGACCTTGGCCATTCTGACTGTGAAGAAGTTCTTCCTAATGTCCAGTCTAAATCTGCTCTCTGCTAGCTTGTGGCCATTATTTCTTGTAACCCCTGGGGGCGCCTTGGTGAATAAAACCTCACCAATTCCCTATATGCTCATATTACTTAGCATCCAGCCTTGGTGAAAAAGAAGGGTTGAGGAGACATAAGACAGAGATGCCTAATGAACTGCAGGAAACAAGAGAATGCAAATATAAATGCATTAACTGACAAGTTTACATTTAGCAGTCTGGAGAAGTAAGAAGTGCCTTATACTGCTTCTGAGAGGCCCCTGTCTTATCTAATTATGGTCATTTTATTCTGGGGACAGCTCTATAATTAATGGACTTCTCTTTGCTCCACTGTTGAAATACTGTGACTCCCTTGATGCCAATTCTTTCAAAGAGCATTTTCTCACCAATATCTGAATTAAATACCAGGTGCTCGGTTGCTGAGACACTCCTACGTGTTAGGGGATGGACTGCAATTGGACAGTTTTTTAGTGCTTTACGAGCAAGTAGCCAATTCTGTATGTGGATGTGGAACCCCAAACTGGAGAGTAGAAAGTTGTATCCGAGGGAGCAGGAAAGACACTGGCTGGCAATTCTGCAGTATCTTTTCTTACATTTCTCTCTCCCTCTCTTTCCTTCTCAGATGTATTTTTATGCTGGCTATGTGTTCCGGGAGGCTGGAATTCCATATGACAAAATCCAGTATGTCATCATTGGCACTGGGTGCTGCGAACTCATCACAGCTGTTACTTGTGTGAGTATCTATGCACAAAATAGATGCATTTTACTAACACAAGAACACTCCACTGACATACAACATCCAACTAATACCAATTTTCCTACTTAAAGTGCTTTTCATTCCGATGGTTACCTTGCAAATTACTGACCCATCAGTCATTTAATCAATCATTGATCATGGCCAGATAGTATAATGTCTGAATAGTTTAAAAGGGAGTATATTTTTCTTTTATCTTGGCAGTTGCTGTGGGTAAACCCTTTGGCTGATCTGGAATAGCACTTTTAAAGTCAGTGACTGGAGAAAACAATAACATAAGGTTTATATAGAAAAGAATCCCATCCTGCCCCCTTCCAGGTCCCAGTGATGGCTGCATTTCAAGTCCTCCAGTTTAGTTCTGTTGGGTTGCTGGCTCTTATTTTAAAGTTGTGACCTGTAGTGTTTGTACCTGTGATATCCGTCATAAGGCAGCATTGTGACATATTAGGTATTCAAAAATGTTTCATGTTCTGAAACACCACCACCTTGTGGTAACTTATTGTTACAGTCACTGAAGCATTCCCATAGGGGTAGTCAGACTCATACTGATATGTAGGTTTCTTTTCCCATACAATCGACAGCAAGAAAGAAGGTTAACAGAGCTAGAGAAACCAGCACTGTCTCCTTGGCTTGCTACTTTATAGTCCCAAATTACCTTCGATTTCCGACAAAATCTAGGGCACTTACATTTCTCTTGTGGAAGCCTTTTTTAAAAACTGTTATTTTATTCACTCTAACTGTGCTCTCTGGAGCAAGTACACAAGGTTTTTTAGAGACAGGTTCAGATTGCAGTTGTGACACACACTTGACACTTCCTCATCACCCAGCCTGCCTGAACCCCAATCAATGCCACCTAACTAAGCAGTGTCTTGAAAGTAGGGGCTGGAGGGGAGAGGCATAAATAGCTTTTGAACATCTTGTGTTGCTTTGTGCAGAATATAGTTATTGAGCATGCTGGCCGGAAGTTGCTGATCCTGGGAGGATATAGCTTCATGGCAGTCTGGGCCATCGTTTTTATGGTTGCTTTATCCCAGCAGGTAACAAATTCTTTTTCATTACTTAAGTCAAGTAGAGCTGGTTTTGCCTTTTATACTGATGGGGTATTAAATGAGAGCAAGTAACTCTAAGTGTCTTAACTTCTGTTTCCTTCTCCACTGTGTGTAGAGTCAGATTAGCTGGATGCCCTACCTCAGCATGACCTGTATTTTCGCCTATATCCTGAGCTTTGGAATTGGGCCAGGTAAGTTTCGTGTGGGTTTTCACTGAAGTTTTGAAACTGAAGGGCTCCAAGACAAGTGCTGGCAAGGTGCTGGAAGTGAAGATTGCATTTGACCAGGTGACATTTGAATAATACAAAAAATGTTAATTTTTTTTTTCTACAATTACCTATATTTTCATCAGCTGCAGTGCTTGTGTGCAACTGTGGTTATGTCTCAGAACTATGTAGGGGCAATCTGTGCTGCTCTCTATAGCATGGGGTAGGTAAAATACGGCCTGTGGGCCAGATCTGGCCCACCAACTGATGATCACTGTATTTCACAGTGTATAGGTCGACACAGTGTATAGATCAACCATCATTTAAAAGTTAGGAAAGGTAAGATTTTAATAGGCATAGTGTATAAGTCAGAGCTGGGCTTTGCCCCATCTCCTGCAAGCAGTGCTGCCTGAACTGCACCAGTCGAGCACCAGGCCCAGCCCCATTTGCTACAAGCGGCACTGCCGAGCACCAAGCCCAGCCCCGTCCCTTGCAAGCGGCATTCAGCTGCCAGGTCCAGACTCAGTGCTCAGCAGTGCTGCTCGCAGCAGACAGGGCCAGGCTTGGCACTCAGCTGGTGCAGCCCCGTCCCCTGCAAGCCCAACACCACTTGTGGGGTACGGGGCTGCGCCAGCTGAGCCTGGCCCCAACCCCTGCAAGCAGTACATCCCTAGTCGAGCACCCCAGCCCCTGCAAGCAGCACCAGGCTCAGTGCTTGACTGGCACAGCCTCGTCCCCAGTGAGCGATGCTGGGCTCACAGGGGATGGGGCCACCCCAACTAAGTGTGGCATCTGGCCCTGTCTGCTGCGAGCGGCACTGCTGAGCACTGAACCCAGCTCCGCCAGCTGAGCACTGAACCTGGCCCCGCCAACTGAGCACTGAGCCCAGCACTGCTCGCAGGGGTGGGGATGGGCTCAGCACTCAGCTGAGGTGGCCCAGGCAGCAACACTCGCAGGAGATGGGGCTGGACCAGCTGAGCACCAAGCCTGGCCCCATCCTCATCCCCATCCCCTGCAACAGGCGGTGCTCAGCTGGCATGGCCCCATCCCCTGCGAGCAGCACTGCCTGCGTCACATCAACCTAGCACTGAGCCCTGTACCACTTGCAGGGGATAGTAATATAGTGTATAAGTCGTGGTTGAATTTTAAGAGTTAAAAATTGGGCTTCAAACCTCAATTTATACACCATGAAATATGGTAGATCTGGCCCATGGGCTGACATCCAATTGATTTAATCTGGCCTATGGCTGCCCTCGCAGTGCTTTGCATGCAGGGGGCTGAGCTCCACCTGCTCCCATATGGGGCAGCCCGTGCCATGCTTCTGCACACACCCGCAGGTTGGTCCCAGCTTTGACCAGCATGCACAACTTTCTGGCGAGGCTGCTCCTGGTGTGGCTGCAGCCATCTTGAGTGCTGCTTTGTTCCCTCCACCTCCAGTGGCTCCTCCTGTTCTTGCTGTGCTGCTATGGGCAGCAGGTAGGGTGGAGAAGCGGTGGGGGCAAGGGGAGCTGAAGCTGGGTGGCTCCTGCCCCAGCACACAGGGCTCCAGCTCCTCCTTGGGTACTGCTCAGCTTCCTCCCTCCCCCCCTGCCAATATCCAGCGGTTCCTCCTCCTGTCCTTGTTGCGCTGCTACGGGCAGCAGGTAGGGTGGGGAAGCAGTGGGGGGGAATCTGAAGCCAGGCAGCTCCTGCCCCAGTACATGGGCTTTTGCTCCAGCTCCCAGCCACCTTCCACCCACTCTATTCACCCAGCATGAGCAGCCATCTACGGGTGGACAAGTGGGTGGAAGGCAGCCCTGCCAGGAAGCTGTGTTTGCTGGCCAGAGTCAGAGTCGGGGCTGGGGCCAGGAGTGCGGCATGGGCTGACTCAGACGGGAGCAGGCAGGGCTTGGCTCCATGTGGAATACCATGAGGGTATCCGCAGGCTAGATCTGGGGAAGTAGACTGCACCTGCGCCACACCACTCAGGCAAGTTCTGCTGCATGAGCCTCCTCCCTCCCTCTACCTCCAGCCAGCTCCCAGGACCTAGCACAAAGCAGTCCCAGCACACACGTGTGCACACTCCCCCCACCCTTCCCACACACACATCCACACATACCCCACCCCCCACACACCCACCCCCCACCTACACCCCCTGCCCCCAACACACACAATATATGAGTAAGATTTTATTTTGAGCTATTATGCTGTTATCTCTATATACACTACTCAAAAAACATATATCAGGACAAAAATATTTTTGAAATAAAATTAAAAAATGTTATAGTAAATGTTTGATTTTGAATATATGATTTGCTTTTATCTATAATTTGTTTAAATGGTATCTTTTGAAAGATTTTATGTGTGTAGCCTTCCACAGATTACCAAAACTTGTTAAGTGGTTCGCCAGCCAAAATAATTGCCCACCCCTGCTCTCCTCTTGCAGCTGTCTTTGTTGGGCTGACCAAGCAGTGATGTTTGAAAGAAAACAAGAAACATGAACACAAAAGCTTGGGTCACTCCTGAAAGAAAAGTTCCTTTGCTTTATAGGTTCAGAGCAAAAAGAGTGACTTTTTGTCTAATTTGTGACAATAGACAACAAGCTCTTAGATGTGCAAATCAGTTCATTAAGCAAGTGTTCCTAATACTTCATTCCTTCTGTTTGCAGTCTTAAAGGTGTGCGGGTCGAGCGCGATCCGGGCCCTTTTTTGTGCTCTACACGGGCTGTGGCCAGCAGCCCGGCCACGCGGGGTCGGAGAGGAGGGGCGCGACAAGCTAGAATTAGGCACAGACTCATAGCGGTAGATTTAAAGATTGTTTACTTACACCGAAGATGGTCGTGGTGTAGGCTGGAGAACTTGCTTGAGTTGCGGTTACAGACAGGAAAGAAGAGAGGCGGACAAGAGTTCTAAACTCGCGAACTCTAGCCCAATCCGGCTGAAGGCTCTAAACACGTGAGCCCGTCGTCTCAACCGAAGAAAGTACTCGTACGGGAGAGCTCTGAATAGACTCACACGAAGTTTGCTAGGCTCCGTGGAACTCGTGCTCTGAGGTAGTCCGGTCGTCTGAACAACTATGTCAGTTGTTCCAGCTGAACTCACACGAAGTTTGCTAGGCTCCGTGGGTCCGGTTCTTTTGCGCGTAGGAAGGGATACGTCTAGGAATCTATCGGCGACGGGGAGAGGCTAGAGGCTGATCAGACCTCTGTTGCCTGCTTGAAATGCGCTGGGTCCGTAAGGATCTGCAGCGCTTAGAGATCTTCACACAGCGTGAAGTCTCCTCCTCCCTTGTTCGTGGAGTCCTCCAACTTGGGCGGAAACCACTCAAGCTTTTTATACAGCTAGCAAGCCAATCACTAGCCGCCACGTGTGAATAATTTAGAACTGGCCAATAATGGGGCTCGAATTAGCATACAAATGGCGGGAACTCTTTGCAACGAGCATTTCTGTGCTGCAACAAAGAAGTGCACCCTGCAAAGAAAGCTTCAAATTGGCGGGAAATTCTCCCTTGCACCGGGGTTCTCTTTTGCAGCAGAAAACTTCACCGTGCAAAGAAGCTGTAATTTAGCGGGAACAATTTAGCAGTGCCGAAGCACTCACAAAACCAAAATCACACCCTTTGGGTTGTGACAAAAGGTTGTTGAGCTCTGTTATTTTGTAATGTCTTTGCATTTATATGTAAAACGTTTCCTATTTATTTTAACTGACTGACTTGTAATTTTCTCAGAACCCAACCATTATTATGCATAAGGGTGAGTGTGTGCGCATTTGAATGCACAGCATGTGCCTGTTACTCCTTACTGCAGATATGATTCTCTGCTTCTTTATATGAGGATAGAATAGGTGCAGGTCAAAGGAGAATCAGGCCCTAATGGTCCATAATTGTCTAGATCAGAAGTAACTTCCAATGAGATATTTAGTCCATATCTTTGCAATGCCTTAGGTTTTATTTAATTGTATCTACGGTGTCTGTCTCAGCCTGGCCTTTGAATATGCACAGAGAGTTTCTTACAAACATTTCCTGGCAGGTCATGCCAATGTCCAGGGGTTTGTATGGATGGGCAGTTCTTAACATCTTAAATGGCAATTTGGAGGAATCCTTGGGTACGTGTGTGCCAGTGAATGCAAAGGACTGGCCTGCCCCAGGAAGCCCTTTTCAGTCCTATGTTCCTATTTAACCTAAAACTTCCTGCTGCAAATTAAGCCACATTAGCACTTGCTCTGGCTGTGCTGACTGGTAAGAATTTACAAAAAAATCCATTATAAATGGTCCCTGTCCTATTTGTATACCCCACACTTCTTTGGGATGTTAGCATAGGTCCTGTTCATTTCCAGCCTCTATTGATGATGTTATAAATTTTCTTGCAAATTCCTTTCCTAGCTGGTGTGACAGGAATTTTGCCGACCGAGATCTTTGATCAAATGTCTCGCCCAGCTGCTTACATGATCTGTGGCTCTCTACTCTGGTTCAATCTCTTCATGATTGGAATGGCCTTTCCATTCATTGTGGTAAGTTAGGAAGATTATATATACATCTACAGTTTTTCAGTCCATGAACAAGTGCTCTTGTACTGCTACAACCTACATTGATGCTTAGTGGAAATGACTAGGCCTGCAATATCTCACCAGCATAGCCAGTGCTGCAGCCGTTTGGCTATAAGCTATAACTAGAGTAGCTGTGAGCTGTCTTGTAGCCAAGTGCCCAACCTGTTCCCTATAGAGAATACTACAGTACAAGAGGCTGGGATTGGAACAGTTTTGAGGCCTGACAGCCAGCATTCCCATTCTGTTATCAGGTTGGAATGGTTGGGACTACAGAAGTTACTAGGTCCCTTTTAACTCTCACAACATTCCCCTTTGTGAATCCCGCTGGGAGAGGATTGAACTGAATATACTGTGAGCTCTTCACAACTAGCACCCTTGCAGTGTTTGCTACAGGGAATCCTAATAAGAGCAGTTGTTTTCCCATTTTCCTGTAGAGTTATATGTAGTGAGAAAGGCAGGAAAAAGGTGAAATCATGTAATACTCCCCTCGCCAAGCCAAGTCTCCCAAACTTTACCCTTGAGTTGCTGTAATGCATGCACATAAGATCCTTCAGGTCGGCACAGAAATATTTCATGATGGATGCTACTATCCATAGGAATGGGTTTCTAGTGGTTCATGGGCTCATATTTTGGTACATTTCCAACCCTTTTAAATATTTTTCTCTCCATGTAGGAAGGCCTTGGACATTTCTGCTACCTTCCATTCTTCGTGGTTTGTGTCTGCACTGCTCTCTATGTTGGCTTTTTCCTTCCTGAGACAAAAGGGAAATCCTTCCTGGAAATCTCAGAGGAATTCAACAAGCGTAACTTTAAAACTCAGACTCACGAGAATCTTTGGAAAGGGCCCGAGGAAATCAAATCCACCATGTTATAGCTTGGGAGACGCAGATGAGGCTGATGCCTGGAAGATATGCTGAGAGGTTACCTTTTTCTGGTGGGGTAGACACAGAAAATATGGGGTCAGGCAGAACACACTCTTCTTGGGTCTATAGTAGAAAGCTTTTATAGGAAAGCAGAAGTTCAGTTGATGTTTCTTGCTTACTTTATTTGTAAACTCAGACTGAAACACAGCTTGCTCTCCCCTTCTCTTAGAATACAAGTATTAATTTGTGCTGCAGTGCCCCTTGCCATCTCTTAGGAGCACCAACAGTGATGTGCTGCTTTAACAAACTATCTTGAAGACTTCTTGAAAAATTACGGGTCAAACTATTTGTTCAGTTACCATTTCAGAATAGTTTGCAAAGGGCTAATACATGATTAATAAGGAGTAATAAGTAAGTTACAAGCAGTTATAGCAGATGTTATCATCACAGCTATGGAAGGTATTAGAGATGGTTAATAGTCACCTATTGACTGAACATTTAGTTAGCCATGTATTTAAAACGTTCATTATTCTTTAATCCTTTACAAACTATTTATAAATGGAACATTAATACACGGTGCATCTACATGTGCAATGAATGCACCTGATTAAACTTAAGCGCAATTTGAGCTGGAGTAAACTAATTCTGACGTCACCTACACATAGGTTTAAGTGCAGTAATTTATTCTGCTGTTGGATAGTACTTCTGTCTGATGGGACTATCCAACAACACTATAAATTAATCTACACCAGCCCAATTGCCACATGTGTAGATGGTGATGCTTTACTGCACAGTAAATTAGTCTATTGCGCAGTAAAGCGCATGTGTAGACATGTCCAGTATGATATTTCTGACAATCTTCCCCTCACCCTTCCCACCCTGTACTTCAATTTCTTTCTCTTTTCTCCACAAAAAAAAAATCACTTTTTATATTTAGACACATGTAAAATACATTTTAGACAAGTTTTACTTTGGGGTAACAGATGCCTTACAAGAACAAATGTAACAGTATTCATTTTTCACTGTCTTGTTTTATACAATCAGGTTTTAGTTTCCCCTAAACCCACCTAGCTAACTGTGGTTCAGATAATCTCAACCATTCAGAGATGGAACATAGGTGCTGCCCGTGACAGCTGAAGTTATTATTTTAGTCCTTTCTAATCCTGCCCATACCTGTTCAGCACTGGGAAAGTTAAACTTTTAGGAGAAGGGTTGATTTTTAATTGGAATATATTTACCAGTTTCATAATATTGAAAACAACTGATGCTTAAGAGCATGAGTTCAATTTTAAAACGCAAAGCTAAGTTACTGTTTCAGAAAATCAGCCCATTTTTTAGGAGTCTAAATATGGATTTCAGTACCCGAGTGTAGGCACTGAAGTCTGAGAACTTGAAGCGAAAAATTCTAGAGCTCAGAAAGAGCCTTCATTTATAGATCATATAAGTAGGCCTGGACAGTGGATTTTTTCAAAAATTAGTAAATGATATTTTGATAAATACAAAAGCCCACTACTGAGTGCATGTTTGACAGTGACTGTACATTCATGAGAAGTATGTTGCAGGATACTGTCACGTCTTGAGCTTCAGTTTATCAAGGTGCATGTACATTGACTGCTGTGATGGTGATTATCTGGGATAAAAAAACTGACATGTTGTAGTTGATAAATCTCAGTGGAAGTGTAATGATCGGTATGTATTTTTCAAATCTAAATGATGTAGAGGTATTTGGAAAACATAACTGAAAGTATTACAAACTGATTATTTATTTTCTTCACCTCTGAATACCACCAGGTGCACTGGTTTAGCATCCAGATGTATTTATCCTGTCTTTGTCCTTCCTTCACCCAAACAACAACTACCTCATCATAATCCCCTCAATTCTTTGCCTCTACACATAGCCCTCAAATAAGCTTGGCATTAATATGATTAAGTTTTGTTTTCAGAAACCGGATGAAATTCCCTGTAACTCCTCTTGGTGCTCTTGTTTTTCAGGGTAGTAAGTTATCACTCATCCTAATTGTTGAGCAACAGTGGGCAGTTAATCATTTTCAACTATAAAAACACGTGACAGATTAGGAAGAAAAGCTCCTCCTGGTGCTCGTTAAGAAGTGACTCATACCACCAATACTTGGGCATTGCTTTTACAATTATTTATTTTGAGGTGGTTTGTCTTCCTGGCTTGTTTGTAATGTTTTATGTGCATCTTACAGCTCACATAGTTCTCTTGCACTGATCCTGTACACACTCCTTATGTCCCATAGAGCTTTTTTTCTCCACTCCACCTGATCTCTGCCAAGCTCAGAATAGAGAGGTGAGGGCTGTCAGCTGGCCAGGCATGGCTCAGTTGACCTAGTGCAAGATAAAGTTGTTGGAGTAACAAAGAAATTTCTGGAGAATCAGGTGAAGTGGAAGCTTTGTTCCATCCTTTTCATTCTACTGTGCCTATACCCTCTTCTCCCCCATGCTGTGTGGAGTGGAAATGCTAACAGAAGACCAGTATCTGCTAGCTTCACCCCTATAGATTCTCCCAACCTACATGTCATTTTCCAGTGGCAATGCCTGGCTCCTGGTAAACTTTGCGAAGTGAACTTAGTGCAGAATCTTGCTCAGACAGAAACCCCTTCTACGGCACTGAACGTTGCTGGTACAGAAATGTTTGCTGCATAGTCTCTGGCATGTTTTCGGTGTGCTTTTCTTCTCAGCAGTTCTTCCTATCTTAGAATCCTGTTTCATATTTGAATCATTACCTTCTTAGTGGCCAGATATAAAATGCATCATTATGTGATACCTGTAATCTTGGAACATACAAGAGCCAGAAGCTACATCTGCTCTCTCCATACCCATCAGGGTTGTCTCATATCTGTAATTGTGAAGAAAGGAATATGCCCTTCACCTAAAGCAAGCCCTCTCTCTCCTGAATGTTTTAAGATGTTTATCATCGTGGTACAAACTAGATTATATGGTTGATGATCAAGAAATAATACACTTGCAATTGCTACATGGGAGACTTAAGTTAGATATTAGGAAGAACTTTCTGACTCATGGGGGTTACCCACTGGAGCAGATGAGGCAAAGAGGCTGTAGAATCTCGGTCATTGGACGTTTTAAAGTGTCAGTTAGACAAATGCTTGTCTGGGTTGGTTTAGACAGGGATGATCCTGCCCCAAGCTGGGGATTTGACTAGATCACCTCCTGATGTGCCTTACAGACCCATTTTTCTGTCATAATTCCATGAAAATAACCATATTTTCCTAACACAGCGTGGAATAAAAAAACAAAGTAAAATGTCCCTGAAAGCAGGTGTCACCAGCCAGATGTCAAAACAGTACATGCTCTGTTGGTGGATAAAAGTGAATGAAGTGTTCCTTCGGGAAGCAGGATGTGCCCAACTATTGGCATGCTCCTAGGTAGCTCCATCATCCGTACTATCCAAGGCTCCACATATTCTAGCAAGCAGCAGCTTCTCATTGTTATATGCCTGTCAAAGTGCTTGGGCATGCCTTAGGGAGTAACTCTACATTTCCCTCCAGTTTCTGTTCATAGTTCACAAGCCATTATCGTTCCTGTGGTTCTTTTTTACTTTGCTTGTATCCTACATTACTGCTGCTAGCAACAAAAAAATTATTGTAAAGAGAGCAATGTGTGGCCAAACAGATACTTTTATAATTGTAGCTTTTTAAAGAAATGCATTATTATTCTTGAATGAAATTAAGGTGAATGTAAAATTCTGAAAATGTGTTATCATGCTGGGCATGAGTAAAAAGTCAGTTGTGCTTTGCCAAAGAAGGAGGAGGCTGCATGAAAATTATTCTATTTTTCAGTATCTATCATACACAATGTAGAAAAAAAATAAATATGAAGTTTATTTGGGTGAATGTTATGGCTGATTTTTGTTTCTCTCACATACACATGCAGATAATTTCTTTGCCTGAAAATCTTTGCTCAAAGACAGTACAAGCATTTTGCAATTATTTATTATACACAGGATGATACAAAGTCATCCTAATCTTTTAAAAACTGCCAGGAGATTTTGAATTCTGTTTATTACTGTGTTTATTATAATAGTGCCTAAGGGTCAGCCCAGACTGCAGCCCCACTTGGCTGGTCCCTGCCCCCAAGATCTTCCATTGTAACCCTGCAAATAGCAGGGGGCAGGACGCCTGGAACACGCCAGCAAAGCAAACGATGTGATGGCATCAAGGTATCGCTACCACAATATTTGAGTGGGAGCCAGAGGCACCTCAGTATGAGGGGATCAGATCAGTGGAAAAAAGGGAAGAGAAGTAGGATGAGGGGGTGAGAGAATGGGAGGACAGGGTAAGAGGAACAGACACAGAGCCGAGGTGAAGAAATTGTGTGGGAGGGGGAGAGGAGGAAAGGGTGGGTGGAGCAAATAGCCAATCCGCTCAGAGTGGAGAAAGTCTGGCTGGAACTGCAGCAAGACCTGGGAATGACCAAAGGTCCCAGATTTTGCTGCTGCTGCAGCTGCTCCTACTGGCTGAAATCTTTGACTCCTCTCTGCAGTTTTTTCCCAGTGGTCCCTAGGGAAGGACTTGATGCCCGACTGCACCAGACTCCATACAGCAATAAATAACAAAAAGCGGTATCGTTACTGTGCAGAATAGACCTATTAGCCTTTACAGTCATGTCAGAGACCCACACTTAGGCATCTGAAATCTAACACCACTACTTCAGAGAAGAATGAAGAGGTGAAATACTGATGGGAGTTACAACATTGTACGTATATACGTATAGATAGATCAGTGTTATGCATATTAGGTATGCGTAGTAAATTGAATACACACTAGAAGAATGACCTTCAACTCCTGTCTCACAGGCAACATGTTGCCCATTAAACTGACATTCTTTGTGAAACTAGGAAAGCAAAAGTTAAAACTGAGGTTGAGGATAGCGAAGATACTGCCTGTAGCACACTACTGCTCAGTCTTGTGCCCCACATCAGCAAAGGTTGGGGACCAATGAACCAACGCAGAGGTGCTCAACCCCTGGCCCGCAGGCCAGATCCAGCCCATGAGGACATATCATCTGGCCCAGGGAGTTCCCCAGGGGTCTAGAAATTTGGCAGCATGAGAGAAGTGGCAGAATTACTTGCTGCTCCTTTGCTGCCAAATTTCTAGACCCATGGAGAGTCCTGGAGGCCAGATAACATGGCCCTGCGTGCCAGACCCAGGTACCTAGGATCAGGCTAGCACATAGTCAGATGAGGCTGGCCTGGGATCGAGGCAGTGTGCAGCCAGTGCGAGTCAGTTCATAGTGGGATCTGGACATGCAAGACCAGGTCCACAGATTGACCCTGTGCCACTTATCCTGTAGCATCAAAAGCCTGGGTGCCACTTAACTAAAGCACATGTGGCTTCATGATTACAACTACATGTGGTACATATACTTACTGACCAAAAAATACATTGACATGTCTTTCTGTATCAGAGTCCAGTGGCTCATTTCGAATATAATTGCCTCTTGCTTACAATAGAACTTGCACTGCTCCCAGTGATTAGAAATGTGTACTTGTATACATCAGGGGTAGGCAATTATTTGAGCCCACAGGCCCCATAGGGGGTTTTAGGGAGCTCACAGGGTGTGTCAGAACTGCCCACCCCCAAAACAGCACACCAAACCTCCCCATTTGGGATGGAGCTGTGTGGGTGCAGGCAGGCGGCAGTTTCATCAGGGCTGCCACCAGCGCCACTTCCAGGCTGCCCTTGTATCCCAAGGAGCTGCTGCCTGGCTTCGGTGGCTACCTGGGTGAAGAGGCAGTGGCCAGGCAGAAGCTATTGCTCGGCGTGGGAAAAAAGGGGGAGTTGGCCGCAGGCACGGACACCTCCCCCTTACTGTTGCCATGCCCTTCTTCCTTCAACGGCCTGCAGCCAGCACCAGGGCTGCCCTGTGGCTCCTCCCTACCACCACCCTGCCAAGCAGGGGCCTGGGGCAGCCTGGAGGCAGTGCTGGTGGTGGTAGCAGTGGTGGGGAGGAGCCACAGGGCAGCCCCAGGGTGGGGTCCAGGCAGCAGTAGCAGTGAGGGGGAAGCAGGCATGCCTGCCGCTGGGTCCTGCTTTTTTCCCCACGCCGAGCAGCAGTTTCTGCCCAGCTACTGCTGCCTCCACTCATCGTGGCTGAGGCAGGCAGGTCCAGAGCAGGCACTGCAGGACCCCAAACCCCCATGCAGGGCAGGCTGGGGCCAGGGCTGGGACTATGCACTCGGTCTGAGCTCAGACCCTGCCCATGCAGGTCCCAACTAGTCTGCATGGGGCTAGGGCCAGTGATGATGGCAGCTGGAAGGAGTCACTGCCACCAGGGCTGCCAGGAAATGAAGTCCAGCTGCGGAGTCGCCCCAGCCCTGCTGCACACCTGGGGGTGGTGGGATGCCCCATGGTCTGGACAGTGCCTGGGCCAGGCAGGACCGAGAGACCCACTGTGGGCCAGATCCAGCCCGCAGACCATATTTTGCCCACCCTGATATATATTATAGGAACTATACGTGTAAATACATGTTTCATAGTTTCATAGTTGGTAGGGTCAGAAGGAACCTGAGCAGATCATCAAGTCTGACCCCCTGCCATGGCAGGAAAGAGCACTGGGGTCAAGCGACCCCAGCAAGGTGTTCATCCAGCCTCCTCTTAAAGACCCCCAGGGTAGGAGCCAGCACCACTTCTCTTGGAAG